GCCGAGGGCTAGTTTATGGGCCCGGTCAGGAGGAGTCTGTTTGAGGCCGATGAGTGCAGTGGGAACTCCACAGCCGCCGGTCGAGATGCGAAAGTGATAATACAAATATGATGGGGGGACCATAAAAAGTGAGTGGGCCAAACGGTGGGAAAGTGTCCGAGGTTCTCGGCCGGGTTCTCTACACACTTCGTGACTCCAGTGGGTGTGGGTGCATAAAAAAGGTATAAATGTTCTATTTATAAGTCCATGTGGGCTAGAATGGGCATTACAAAATGTGCATAATGTACAGAAGTCAATGTCTGAGCAATTAAGCACGAAATCGAAATACATTTTTATGGGGTTACTGTAAAGTAAACAATAAATAAATACAAGGTCTCTAAATGTAGCAAGTGGGAGGGGTAACATAATAAATAATGCAACAAAACTATTAACAGAATACATTTTAAATATTTTTTTAACTATGGGAATATTTATTTATCCTTCTAATACTGTATTACCTATTCCTTAAATATAGTTTTAAGGCAACCGGAAAGCGTGGTGAGAGCATGTGACATAAACGGGAAGTTATGTGCTCTAACTCAATTAAAAAGCAGGAATTAAATTACAACATAAAGTTCCCACCCATCCAATTTCCCACTTCTATTAAAAGATCCGACACATTCAGCTTATTGCCCAATGCTGACATCAACGAGCAACTTATATTACTGCCACCCGTGCATCCATTCCGCAGCCATTGTCATTACTATCATCACAACAATCATCATCATCGTGGACTGGAGCTATCAGCAACCTAGACCCAATCATCAAGAGCAAGAACAAAGGCAAAAAAATCGATTTCATTCATACGCAATTGCGTTGAAATCTGTCAATGACACGTTCTCGACGTTCGCCTGCCACCCCCTGCACCTTCACCCCCTCCCCAACCCCCGGAAGGGGAGATCCATCCACCACTTCCCCCACCCCCAAAGGGGAGATCCACTCTGCCCTTTCAGTTCCTCTAGTTGTATCCCTGCCACTGACAGACTCTGGCCCAAAGCTCTTCCATTCGAACTACTAGCACCTGTGCAGGGGATATTACACGGAGAGAAATTCAGGGAAAGTCCTTTCTTCAAAATAAATCACATTAATATTAGCTAATATAAAATCAAAATAGTAATATAATATATGAAATGCAGAGTTTTTATCGGGATAGGTTTTACTCTTAAAATGTATTAATAAAAACCAAATTAAATAGGAATAGAAGTATAGATATAAGAGTATTTATAATCACTAAAATGTGTATGTATGTATGTATGTATGTAATTTACCAATATATAGTATAGCATATAGTATTCCTTTCGAATATAAAGGATTATATATTCTAGGAGTACTGAATTTAAGTATAATATCAACTAGTATAACTTATGCGTTTTTATCCATTTGGTTCTATATTTCAGCCTGTACGAAATGGAACGCTATTTCTTTCAGTGATGGTTTCAGGTTGTAAACAGGCCAAGGGGTCGTGGGGGAGGTAGTGGGTGGAAGGGGGAGGCTGGGCGCACACTCATCACGGCCATTGACAAGTAGCTGTCAGGCAGAAGGGTCAAGGGGAAGCACGAGCGAGCTGAGCGAACGAGCGAGCATCAGGAGCGCTTTTCGACACAAGTAACTGGGCTGGAACCCTTGCCCCACGGCCACCAGGGGGTGGTGGTGGGTGGGTGGGTAGCAGGAGCTCCACACACACACAAACACACACGCATCACAATGTGCCAAATCAAGCACAAAAATCCAATATCCTGCAATGAAATACAATTACACGGTGCACACAACTCGATTTGGCCCCCGTCAAAAGTTACTAATAATTTTGGTTTCCCAAAAATAATTGGCAGAAGTCAAGAAGTCGGCGGAAGATGAGGTGTGAGAAGAGCGGCAACGTGCGTTGATTTTCTCACAGTGCAGACCTTGCATTGATTGTTACATGATGAAGTGCTATCGATGTCTGTTTCGTTTGACTGATTCTCCGATTCGATGGAAAAACGAGCAGCCCTCGAGCGTCGGCAGGTGTGTGCGTGAGTATCTGTGTAGGTGAGCGTATCTGTGCGTGGCTCTGTTCCGCGACTGTGGTGGTGCATATATGGAATTTAAGGCCCGGTTACTGCAAGTGCCGCCCAGGTCTTTAAAAGTGTAAGAAGACGCGGGCTGGCATTCAAATCTTTGGCCCCCAGCTCGATGACTTCACACATTCCTGAAGCGAAAGAAAATGAAAAAAAGAAGAAAAAGTTGGGGGGGCCAAACAACGAGAACTTCCTTGAAAACGCCTGTCTAAGCCAAGTGAAGAACTTAAACGTCGAACCAGTTTTTGGTGAATGAAAATCAACAGAGCCCAAAAGTTGCACAAACTCCAGGAGAGCCAGAAGAAGAAACCCGAAGCCAAGTACGAAATGAAGAAGAAGAAGAAGGGGAGTTTGTGGGATGGGGCACACGGAAGGGGCAGCCTGCCAGCTAAAATATAATAAAAAGAAATTAAAATAAAATTCAAAAATGTGCAAAACGAGACCGAGAACGAGAAATGCTGCATGCCAGCGGTCTTCGGGAAAGAGGGAGCGGTACTGCAGAAGAATCTCCGTGGAACCTGTTGGACCAGTCACACACACACTCACACACACACACATACGGAAACACACGCACACCAGGGGGAAATGCCACCAACGTGTTTGTGCCAGGATAAAAGGCAAGCCGGGTCGTCTTCTTGCCATCTCTTTCTGGCCAACTCCTCCGGAGGATTTCAAGTGTAAAACGCTGTCGCTTGTGGAATGCGCACACACACACACTCGCAAACATACAGATACAACTGCATAGATATGGCCCAACATTTGGCCATATTTTGCTGCACTAAATCAAGCGTTTAAACGAAATTCGAGTTGGGCCAACAACTCGAGCCGCTCGCTCATATTTTGCTGATCGCCAAAAAGAAGCACCATAATTTATAGATGCCGTTTGACTAAATTCGTTTAATTCCAGACTTAACCACACACCTCTCCACATATATACACCTCTTACCTGTACAAAAACAAAAAAACATGAAGGGAAGAGAGAGAGAGAGAGAGAGAGAGAGAGAGATAGAGAGGTAAAAGGGTTTCGGTTTTGGTTTTGGTTTTGGTTTCGGTTTCTTTGGGACCTTCGCTCTCATCGATCGTTCCGTAGCGTACATTATAATTTATAACTTTATCTAAACGATGTGGTGGTGTTTAATTTTCGACCTCACCTTTTCCAGCTCGTTTTTTGTGTTTTTTGTTGCCGTTTCGCCATCCCATCATCATCATCATCATCATCAGCATCATCATCTGGTCCATCGTCGTGGTTGTGTTTCTGATGTGGATTCGTTTCATTGGAGAACTGTTTCCGCTTCGCATGACTCACTTTTTGCCGTTTGCCCGGGGGTCTTTTTCTTATTTTTTGGGAGGTCTCTTTATCGCGCACTAATTTGAATAGGATTCCATTTCGTGATGAACATATCACCGGTAACGGAGTCTCCGACTCCGACTTGGACTCGGATTCGGAAAGCATCCACGGGGGGTGGGAGGGCGTTTGCGCCCAGCTGGAATCCGGCAACTGACCACCATGAAGTCTTCGGCTAGATGTACACAAGCCCTGGCAGCTTGTTAATGAAGAAATAGATACGAGTACGAGACGCCCCGAGACGCCGAGGTATTTAAGATCGAGGTCGGTGCCCGCGGGGGTGGCGAGTGAAAGTCCAGGGAGATTTCGGGTCGTGCATTGTCTTGCCACATTGCCACACCACCACTACCACCACCACCACTCTGAGCCGCTGCAGCCTCAAGACAATCGCTTCGTTTTTCGCAAATTGCAAAGGGGAAAAAATCCCAGAAAATATAAAAGATACAACCACACGTGCTGAGCGCAGGTCATGACACGGCTATCCATTTAAATAGAAATGTTTAGCCCTAGGAAAGAAATATTTGAAGCGCGAGCCTGCTCTACCAGTTCATCAAAGCGATCGTTGAGCAGAGCCAATGAAATAAAATTAGAACTCATTCAGCAGCCATCAATTAGAAGCGAACATGCAAATTTTTTTCTTCTTTCCAGCGGCATCGATAAAAGCCCGGCTTGAAAGCCAGCGAGAATCTGAGAAGACCACTGTGAGATGGATTGATTTAAGTTGAATATGCAAATTGCAGCGAACCACCGTTGAAAGCTTTTAGAAGAGCATTTCGAGAATTTGAATAAATATTTAGGCCCACTAGACGGGTTAAAAAAAATAATCAAGCCAACTCCTGTCAGATGATTCACTGCGAAGGGCAACTTGCGTTCGGCTCGAAAGAATGTCGGATGCCATAAATAAGTTCAATCAATAATTAAAATGTCTAGGGATAAATTCGAGCATCTGAAGAGGATATGTGTCATATATAGATTGTGGTTTGTAAAAAGTTTCTTTTTTATATATTTTTTATAAGAACGATTCCTTTCAAAAACTATAAAACCAATAATTTTAATATCTTGGAATACATTCGAGCATCCAAAGAGGATATGTATCATGTGAAGATTGTGTTTTTAAAAAAGAGTAATTCCTATTTTTTATAAGAACTTTTATTTTGAAAATTCCCAAAAACAAAATTAACGATTACAAAGGTTTTGGACTTATTCCAGATTAAGTTATTAGTCAACATATTTTGTTTTGGCTGAATAATTTGCTGATTGCTTCAAAAATGTGGTTTCCAATTTGTCATGGAATATTATTAGATATATAAACAAATTGTTTTTTAGCAATTTTTATTTTCTAATCGTAATGTGCACTTAACATTTCTGTTAGATATTCTGTTTGGTCATGTCGCACTCGTCCGGCAACATTTACTCTCTCGGCCACATGTTCGCTCTTTGGCAACATTTTCGCTCTCTCGACAGCACTTACGCTCTCTCGTCCAAATGTTGAGTCAACATGTTGCCAAGGCGAGAATCTAAGTGAAACTGAGGCGCCTCGGCTACATTCAAAGTTGGAAACAAATCCACGGCGAACGGTTCGTGCGAGCGCGTGAAAAATTCTACTTAAAGCGATTAATACGAGTAATACGAGAAAAACAAAACACAAGGTGAATTATTTCTGCGGGATATTTTCTTTAAGAATACGTTGAAATATTCAATTTACAAATTTATATTTCCAATTTATCGTTGCGCGTGCGGAAAAACTGAAAATCTCGGTGCGAAATTCGAACGGAAAAGCGATTGAAAATAAGGCGAGTGCATTTCCTCGACCTGCGAAGCTTTTGCAATTAAATCTATTTTCGCCGACATAAATACACAAGCCGTTGAAAACAAAATAGAAGAAAAACAAAACGCAATTGCTGGCAAATCAATTGCTCAAGGAATTGAAAACTATTCGCTGTTATGTCATGGAAAATCTCTGAGCGAATTTCTTAAAAAAAGTTTAACAAAATATTCGTGTGTAATTTTGTGACCATTTAAAAACTGCAAACCAACAACAACAACAACGACAGCAAAAAATTGCTAGACACGCGCGTGTTTTTTGCACACTTTTTAGCGGCTTCGAAGAGAAACTTCCACCGCTCCCCCGCGCTCTCTTCTCCTCTCAGCCGCCCACCACCCAACGTTTACTACCACTTTTATTGCTCACGCGTGTTTTTTCGGTGGCCTTTTGTTTTGTGCGCTCGTATTGGTAGCCCCAGTGTTCCGCAGTTCCTCTCTGTGTGTGTGTGAGTGTGCGTGTTAGCCGGCAAGTGCAGTTGTGTGTGTTTGTTGCCGCGAACAGCTGTTCTGCCCAGACAGCATGCAGAAGTAAATACAAGGAAATAAGAAGAGGCGAAAAGTGGTGCGAATAAGTTAAGTAAGCGGCTAAGAAATAGAAGGAAAAGCTAATTTCGCCGCATCATCCACTGTCTGGGCCAGCAAACATCCATCAAAATGGCGGCCAGGAGCATCCGGCTAGCGCAGCTTCTGTTTTTCTCTTTCCTGCTCTGCGGCCTCGCCGACATGTCAGCCGCCAAGCACCTGGACGTGGACGGGGTGCACCACCACCAGCACCACCAGCACAGCGCCACCACGCACCACCGCCGACGCCTGCAGCGGGACTCGCGGGCGAAGGACCTGCCCCCCGCCCACCAGTGCGAGAACGTCAAGAGCTACTTCGAGTCGATCGACATCAAGTCGAGTGGGACCTACAGCGAAAAAGGTAAGCACAGCACACACCGCAGCCATATGGCCAAGACATCGTAAAATCAGAAATATATAGGGGTATATATGCGGGCTAGGAGCTGGAAAGCCTCTGGGGGAAGTTCAAACTATCCATACGTTTCAGGTGCCTCGGGTGCAATTTCCATAAGTTAGGAATGAGAGAAAATATTCAATACCTAAGATATTCTAGATGTTGTGGATTAGCTTATCTTACTTGTATTACTATATGAACTTGTGAAGCTTTACTGCAAAAAAAACTTCATAAGCAGTTATTCGAAAATTAAATTAATTTTAATAACATTTATTGCACTGCAAATTATATTGCATTTATATAGATACTAAACTTTTCCAATAAAATTATGAAAATAATTAATTAGTTAAAACATATTTTTTTTTTAACGATACAAGTTTTACGATTAATAAACACTGTATATGTTCTTTAAATATGAAACTATAATTAATGGATAAATAATAAATTTACAAGCAAGATCCGTTTTCCAATGTGCATTAAAGCTTAAAGTTTAATAATTGACTGGATAAGCTTGCACGATAGACCCCAATCCGTCTTGTTAAGCAATTCATTCTTCAACCCTTTGTGCAAAATCTATTGCATCAATTGAGGACTTAACTTTAACGCTCGCCATCAGGCTTAAATACTTCAGCGAAGTAAATCGCGCGTCAGCCAAAGTTTTGGCGTCCTGCAGCTGCAGTTTCTCTTCTTTCTGCTCCCCTTAAATGCCCCCAACCCCTCTTCCACACCCCTTGAAACTTGAAAAACTGGAGGCATATGCAAATTCATTGAACTGAATGAAAGTCAGCCACTCGAGGCGAACTATGACCACTCGAACAGCCGGGCGCCGTTTGCAATTAGAAGATTGCGCATTGAGCAACGCCTCGGAAAAGTTTTCGACGTGGATAAAGTTTTTGGCCGCGGCAGGTTCATTACATCTCGCAGATACAAAGATACACTGGCGGCGTCATTTGTTATTCTGATTCCGATTCCGATTCTCTTGGCACTGCCATATCAAGTGGCACGCATCGCCAGTCGAACTGTGTGAAGGCTATGGGCGGTGTATTTATATATCCACCGATATCCACCAGATACTCGACATATTTTTGTTTATGTTATGCATATTTCACACATGAGTACGGCAAACGAGCGTCAGAAATAAAAGCAAAGTCAAAAGAAAAGGAACAATCGGATAAGATCAGAAACCAAACCAAACCGAAAACGAGCGAATGTCTATCTGTGCCACAGAGACGTGTAATTGAGTGAAAAATAATTATTATTGATTAACCGACCTTGACTCGGTATTTACGCGTTTACGCACAATTACATGATACGCAGCCAAGAACTCGCTTCGAATACAAATGAACAATATATGTTGTATGGTAGATATACATATATATATCTGACGATGATGTTGCAACTTTTTCCCCGTGCAATGCTTACTTGTCTGGAGAGGTTTTTCATTTTATTTTTATTTCTGTTTCTATTTCTTTTTACTTTTCTTGTTCTGGTTCTGGTGCTGGTGTGCTGGCTTTCCCACACGCAGGTAGTTAACGCCAAGAGGTATCTATGAGATACATTGCTGAGCAGCCCGCATCGGCGATGCCGCAAAGTGTGAAGAACCAACTGAGAGTTACAAGTGCATGTTTGTGTGTCCCGGCGACTTATCCACCTGACTGCCTGCCCAATTGAGTTGGTAGTTGCGAGTTATTAGCGTTGGCTTTGAGGAATTTCAATTTGGCTAATGCCCGACGCCGTATCTCCTCCGATCGGCACCCACACTCACACACACACACATGTATCTTGGTATCTTTGTATCTTTGCTCTGGTCGTTGCTCCTGCTTAAGTATGCCGAACTTTGTTTTCGACATTTATTTACTGTTTACATAGTTCCAATTGCGCCCTCCTCCGCCTTCCCAGTTATTTATGTATCTCTTTCTGTATCTGTATCTGTTCAGTACGTATCCGTATCTCCATCTATATCTCGTTCTGTTTGCTCTCGAGTGTGTTACTTTTACGTTTATGTGCTGTTTGTGATGCTAATCTCATGTCGGTGCCATGCATACGATAAATGCTCCTCCTCCTTCCCCATTTCTATTTTTTGTTTTTTGCCGTGCAGCTCCAGGTAGAGGCGCTCGGCATAAAACTAAATTTTAATTTAATTGCGCACACCACTCGACTGCTAATTGAGTTGCTTTTGGCCAAAAGAAGTACGAGGAGTAGTGCTAGAAATAAAGCGATATTCCCCGGCCCATTAACATGAACATTAAGCGCGTTACAAAGACGAACAGGAAGTCGTAGCAGCAGTATCTAATCATATCGCACAGTACCTCTACCTCTACCTCTACCAGTATCTGTATCTGTATCTGTTTGCCCACGGGTATCTGTATCTGGCCGAAGGCAGTTCCAATGCCCCGGCCGTGTTACTAAATATTTAAGCAACTCGTAACAGAAATTAGAGCAAACTATGAGATACGAGCCCGTGTATCCGCGTATCTCGAGCGACTGCGACAGTGAGTGCGACTATTTGTGTGTGCCGCACGGCTAGATAAGTGAAAAGTGCAAATAGAGAAGGCGAAGGCAAACGTGACTCGTTTGGAGCGGGGAAAACTGCTTGCCGGGCAACTTTTTCAAACGGATTCCATGACATGGTGATGGAGATGGAGATGGGCCAAGTGTGTGCTCATGCCTGCAGTTTTGGGTGCGTGGGCGGTGGTTATGCCGGCTTATGTCTTCAAAAGAGAGCGCGCATCCCTGGATAAAAATTTTAATTATCTCGAAAACTGCGCAAATACCCCGTACAGAAATCATTGCTGGCTCAAAGCAGCGCGCTCTTTCTGCCAATTAAAAGTTGAAGCTCCCCTTTCTGAGCGAAGGCAAATGGCATGGAACTCCACTTAAGGCTTAACGGCAAGCATAAATGTGCCAAATTTCGACTAAGCGAAATTCGTCAGAAAGTAGCTAAACCCATCAACCAGAACCGAAAAACGATCCATAACACTTATGTCGAACCGATCATAAAGTTCGTCGGCCAAATTCCAATGGCCAACGGAGAAAAACTCGTTTCCTATTTTGTTTTATTCATGAGACACATGTTTTGTTTTGCCCGGAATATCTGTTGGATAATTAAAAATTTATTTCTGTTCCAGTTGCAGCCAGAGCTACCCTTTTAGATCGACGACCACCTCCATTCAAGCGTATAACACTCATCCGAAGTTATCTCATCAATTAAGTTTTGAGTTCTTTTCAGTTGGGTTTAATTGCTGCCTTTTTCCTCCCGATCAATTAAACTCTAAGCCAGACAAAATTGTTAATTGATTTGGTGCTGGACGCAAAACTAATTACGACTGCGTTTTAAGTAGTTTCCAAAGGTTTCGTCCAGTTGCTTAATGGTTGGAAATGAGTTTTCCACTCCGCTTTCCACGGAGTCAAGGGGGAAAAGTCGATGGGTTCGTGGATAGTGGCTTAAAACTTTGCTTAATCGGTATTCATTACTGCACGTCTTTGTTTAATGCCTTGGAAAAGCTGAAACGTGGGAAAAACCCTGGGCGAAGTCTGTAGAATAAGTCTGCCATCGATAAATCACCGCTTAGAAGTTAATAAACATTTTAATTGCAGTTTGGATTTTTATAGAAATATTCTGAACACTAAACATTTCACCAAGTGCATTTAAATTGCTTTGATTTTACAAGGCTCACATAAACTATTTCCAATCTCTTTTCGAGACAACATCCGACATTTATTTGCCAGCATAAAACCATAAACTCTTCGCATAAAGCTTAAATATTGATAAGATACAACCAATCTGCTTCCTACACCTTGAATTGTACTCAAGAGTTTACCATCAATCTTAGAGAAGCGTTTTATGCTCCCGTAAATTAAACAACTCTTTCCGCTTGATGGTTAAAGAAACAGAGATCTTCATCGGCATTCCAGTCCATTGCTGATATTACACAATGCCCAAAAGCATTTTAGATTTTTTATATTTGCGCTAATTAGTTTCAATTAAAATTAACGACGCCTCTGCCCATCGATTTCACACGCATATAAAAAAGGCAAAATAAAGGCAAAAACAGGCAGCGAAACATAAAAATCTTGCCTTTGTATGTGGCCACTTTCTTAATGTTTGCTTTAGTTTTGTGTTTTTTTACACATCTGACCTCAATACCAAAGGCAATTCGAGAGTGGCTCGGTTCGGTTCGTTTTGGTTTCCAGTGTTTGCTTCAGTTCAGTGGTCGAGTTCTGTTTAATTTCTGATGGTTGTTTCAAAGGCGGAGTGATGTCATTGATTGGCTTTCTGGGTTTCTGTGCACGGAGTATCTGTTAGTTTCCAGAGATCCACGGATCCAGATGTTGCCGATGGGCTGCTCGCATTCAAATTGGTCAAATATTTCATCGTCTAACTCCCATTCATTCGGCTCTCAGGTGTGTTTGTTCATTGAGGGAACAAAACGATTTCCAGGAACACTCCGTTCTACATAACAAAACCCGAGAGGTAGTGACAATTTTTGTCGCTGGCTCGGCAAATACATATCTCATTTTCATTCATGCCTCATGCGAGTTCAGTTCACTTCATTTAAGTTCAGTTCAGGTTGGCTTAAACCGAACCTGTTTGGGTTGTAGTTAAGCTGACAAGAGGTCGTCTTGCTGTCCGCACATTTTAATTAGAATTAAGCCAAAGTGGAAGCAATTAAGTGCGAGTGTGTCCAAAGGAAGTTGTCAACTGGTCGGACTCTTCCGTTTGGCCAAGCTCGAATTCTACCTACCTATCTTCTTGGTCGATAAAGGTGAACTGGACTGCATTCCTGCGATAAGACGACCTGCAATAAGATAAGATAAAGTCCGAATGGCAACCAATTAAATATTTAGCGCTGGCCCCCTTTGTCTTGTGTATCTGCTGGATGCGCCCACGAGGGCCATAAAATGTGTGAAATTCGTCTAGGACAGGTAGTAGATACATTTGTATCTCACGCTCGTTACCTGCCAGCAGATATTTTTAAACATTCACCAGTGAATTCGTCAAGCAAACAAACAAACGCAAGAGGCTGCAGACAGCGATTGTGGATGTATCTGTATCTTGAAACTGTAAGTGTATCGCATCTGTATCTTCTTGTGACCGATTTGCTTTGGTCAATGTCGGTTGCTTATGCAACAATGATGATGCAGCAGCAGCAGAGGAGCAAAGTCAAAGCCAAATTCGCCGACGACTTACTCACTGGAAACACTTAACCCCTGCCGAATCGTACTCGATACCTTCGATACCTCTTGGTTCCGATTCTCCATCATCGTTTTCGAGTTCTTCGGCTGCCGATTCTCTTGGCGGCGGTTCATTGTTTGTCCATGTCTTTTGTGCCGCGTAATCGTTGTTTTCCAATGAACACACACACTGTGAGATACAAACGTCGCCGGATTCTTTCGGTTTTTGTGTTTTTTTGATTCATGGATGCCAGTGGCGCGTTGTTGTTCTTGATTCTTTACTTTGGATTGTTATGTTCACGGAAAAGGTAAAGGTTAATGCCTAGTGAAGTGTGCACAGCATCGAAATAGAACTCGGGGGGGGGGCTCGGGACGCAAAGATACAGATACAGATACAGAGATACAGATACAAATGCAGATAGCTGGGATACATAACTAACTAGTTGGCATTTCCGCTTCGAGTGGCGTTACCCCGGGGCAATAAAGCGTGTAATGGGATTGGGTTCTTGTCGGAAAAGCATCTTACTTAGATGATAAACACTTTTGCCACCTTTCCTGTAAACACTTTTTGCACCTCTTTGTCGCGGAGATTCCTATCATTTGCATGGCAGCAGAAGAGAAAACCTTTCGTCCCATCCCTAAATTGTTTTCGCCAACTTGTACTTACAGTGCGCCATGTCTGAGTCCGCGCATAAATCAATTATTTGCACCTAAGGCCCATAAATCATTTTGTGACGACCAACAGCAAAAGACAAACATTGGACTGGTCAAAAAGCCAGACGAACAATCGAATTAGAGGGGGTGAAACACGAAAAGCCCTCCACTGAGCCAAAAAGGCTAGCAAATTGCCGGAGTTGATTTTGTTTTCGCAATCTTTGTTTTGATTTTGTTGTCTTTTTTCTTTTTTTCTTTTTTGGGCCTAAGTGCCCTGAAAGCCGGGCTAATATGGCGTTGGCGTTCTTGTCTTGTTATCGCAGCAACAAAGGCCACAATAAAAATATAAACACACACGTACTATGTGTGAATGATTTCTGAAAATGACCAAAGGCACTTTGATTTCGTCTTTGTGTCTTTGTGTGTTTTTTAGAGCTTTGCCTCCTAAGCCAGGTTTTCTCCTCCGTCGAGTATTTCGACTCCATTCAATCGCCATCCGACGCGCTCCCTTTATTTTGTTCCCCTATTTGCTCGGCTCTTTATTCCCGCTCCTATTTGTTGTTGTACATTTATACGGTTTATTGACTTTGGCCGGAGCTTCTTTCGCTCTTAGCCAGTTTTTTGCACACTAAGCTCGCGTATAAACAAGAGTGGAAGTAAATGCAAACAATAACAAAAGTGTTAAATATGTGTAGAGGGTGTCAGCGGAGTGACTTTATATGTTCAGAAAAACAAGAAAAAATAGCTTTTAAATCAAGAAGTTCGGAATTATACAGAACAGCAAACAAATTGAATAGAGGAAAGTATAAACGTTTATAGTTTTATATGTTTCTCTTATACCATAACACAAGTTCTTGGAAAATAAAGCATCAGATTCCATTCTAAGCTACAATAAATACCTCGAAGTCTGTTATTATATTACCGTTTTAGCACCAGTCTCTAAAGTTTAGCACTCCAATTTACACTGCCCGACTGATTGACTAATTCCCTATATCTATTTGCTCCTCTCCATTTGCAGGTGCGTATTCCGAACTAAATGTCAGAGCAAACAGGGAAATGTTATCTGCTCAAATGTTTGCTTTCGCCCAGTCCTACAGCAATATATAGTAGATACAGATATCGGCGGGTATCTGGGCGGTAAGTCAGTCAGATAAGACCGCCCAAATGCGCATTCAACTAGACAGCTTGGCGATGCGACCCCTTGGCGAATTATAATTTCGGAGGTGTTCAAGTGTGGATGAGTTGAGCTCGACTGGGGATCATCAATCATTTAATAATAAATGCGCGACTTCACGCCAACGCTAGAAGCCAACCGCAACTAACTAAGAGCCAAAAACCAAAAACCAAAAAACCAAAAACAAAAGCAATCCAAAAGCGTAAAAAATCCCCCTACGCTCGCGTGGTATAGAAATCCACCAAATATGAATATAAATGAGAGCTGAGCTCTTTCAGAACATTAGGAAAATTTAATAAAACTTGAAAAGCGGGGAAAAAGGAGGGCGACGGTGGAACTTTGTGCTGCTTTGTCTGCAACTCGATGCCACCATTCACTTTTCGTTATTAATATATTTTTCGGTTAAAATTATGCTAATCCGTTGAAATATGATTATGCCGAATGACAACGGAGTGACGGGGGCGGTGGCAGGAGGGCGTGGCTGGTTGGGTCTGGTCTGGCGGATCGGTCGCATATATGTCGGCAGGTGTGCCCATTAAGTCGAGGGCTTGTGCATAATTTGATTGCCTTTCGCAGCTAATTTCGTTCACTGGGAAACCCGACCACCAAGCACTCTCGTCTAATTAAATAGATGGCGGAAATTTTCATATTAAATCATTTTGCGCGTTCTTCACCCGGGGTTGAAGTGAAACTTTTCCAATTAAAGGCAAGGCGACCTTCAAAGCAAACAAATTTCGAAAATGAAATTGCAGGCGAAAAAGTAATTTAATTAGCTTAACCCAAATAGGAATAAACAAAACGAAACGAAACCGAATCAGATTCGGAGAAAAGTCCTTTTCGCCGCAGCGTCTCCAAGTCGAAATCGAAAGGGTTGCACTGCTCGTCGCGTGTTTTTTTGGCCGAGAAAGTTTCGTTTCTTTGTCGGCGGTGGTGCCAGTCGCCAAACTTGGAGGCGCCAAGAGCAAAAGCCGCAGCAGAGTTGGCCATAAAAAGGCGCTGGCCTAAAAGCTATGCAAATTGGAACTGGAACTCGTGGCGATTCGGCCCCAAGTGTTGACTTCCGTCATCTGCAAATGAATTTTTTAAAATTCCTTCCAGTTAAAGTGGGAAAAGGAGAATAGTTATTGCTTTTAGGATCGTGGGAATAAAAAAATAGGTACATTTTTTATATTGAGCGAATTTAAAAGTAAGCAAATAAAAAGAATTTGATATAAATCAATTATTATTCAAAACTATTTCCCCTGAGCTTAAAATGTCGCATGCGTTCGTATCAATTTGTCGTAGTATTTTTCGACAGTAATTTTATCAAAATTTCTGTAGATCATGTCCGGCAAACTGCTTAAAATGTCAGTTTTTAGCAGGCCAACCACCACTGGCTTTCACACAAACCAAAGGATATTCCGACTGGTGGACGATGCCCTTATTCTGGTTGGCAAACCGATCTTCGAATTCAAGCAGCATCGAAGGTTTTTTTGGGACTTTAAAAAAAGGGAGATCCCTGTTCGGCAACAAGTTCCGCGGATCCAAAAGGTTCGTTATCCGGGAGCCAAGGAAAATCCTTTTCGTAGAAAGCCGGACTGTCTGCCCAGAAAAAATGAAGTTCTCGAGCCCATTCGCATTCAGCCGCCTCGGAATTCAATGTGTTTTTCAGTAGTTCGATTGTTTAGTAGCTCTGGCCCAAGTGGAGGATCTGGGGACCAGCCGGAAGATCGCGAGGGAAAACTTATTAAGTTCCCAGGGGGATCAAGTTCTGAAAAACCGCAAGCAGGGAAAGTTGAAATCTCAAAAAAAGAAGCGCTAACTTCTGACTCAGAAAAATCAACTACGAAGGAATCTAGTGAATCAGATATTGTATCAGAGATATCAGGAAACCTATCGAATAAGGACTCAACTTCTGATACACAACTCACAAAAGCTTTGGATAAGTCAGGAAAAGGCTGCAAAGATGATGAACTAAATAAAGTTATGCTTAAAGATTCGATCAACTTGTCAGTTGGTAAGGATTCCAGTGATCCCATCGGAATCCAGTCTCAGCCTCCCGAGACAAGTCAAAGTGCCAGCAAATCTCCAAGTGGAGGTAAGCCACCCACCAAACCTCCTTCAGGACCCACTCCTCCACCTAAACCGCCGGCAAAAAAATCAAAGACAGATCAAAAAGGAGCCCAACCTCCAAATAAAGCAGCAGCAGGAGGTAGTTCTCCCAATAAGCCACCCACTAGTGCTCCCAGTAAACCACCAACTGCCGCTAAGCCTCCCAATAAACCACCCACTGATGCTAAATCTCCCAGTAAACCACCTGCTCCCAGCAAAGCTCCACCTGCAAGTAAGGCTCCAAGTAAATCCCCCAGTCCGGCTCCAACCGCTGGCAATCCTCCCAGTAAACCTCCAACTAAGCCACCTGGCAAGTCTCCAACTGGAGGTCAACCACCCAGTAAAACGCCAGCGGGACCAACACCACCCACTTCCGGAGGAGACAAAAAGGCGGAGCTACAGGTGCACCCAGAGTAATCACCTTGATGCCCGGCGATGGCATTGGACCGGAGATATCGATGGCCGTGATTAAAATCCTCGAGGCTGCCAAGGCACCTCTGGTTTTCGAGCCCGTGGACGTGACCCCTGTGATGGATAAGCGAGGACAGACTTCGGTGCCTGAGGCGGTGATCGAGAGCATGAACCGCACGAAGGTGGGCCTCAAGGGACCCCTGATGACCCCAGTGGGTGGTGGCTTCCGCTCCCTGAACCTCACTCTCCGCCAGCTCTTCAATCTCTACGCCAACGTTCGACCCTGTCGATCTCTTCCCGGAGTGGAGACCATTTACGGGGATGTGGACATAGTGACCATTCGCGAGAACACCGAAGGCGAGTACTCCGGCATAGAACACACTCTGGTCAGCGGAGTGGTGCAGAGCATCAAGCTGATCACCCGGAACGCCTCACTCCGGGTGGCCGAGTACGCCTTCCAGTACGCTTTGGAAATGAAGAGGAAGAAGGTTACGGCCGTGGCCGAAATGTATGTGATGCGGATGTCGGATGGGCTGTTCCTGCGATGTGTTCGGGAAATGGCCGAGAAGTACAAGAGCCAAATGGAAAAGGCTGGCATTGTTTACGAGGAGTCGAACATGACCACCGTCTGTTTGAATATCGTGCAGGACCCAAAGCGATACGATGTGCTGGTCCTGCCCAATCTGTACGGAGATATCATTTCGGACACGTGTGCCGGATTGATCGGAGGATTGGGTCTGACGCCCTCGGGAAACGTGGGCACCGAAGGCGCCATTTTCGAGTCGGTGCATGGAACGGCTCCGGATATTGCCGGCAAGGACTTGGCCAATCCCACGGCCTTGCTGCTATCCTCCGTGATGATGTTGCACTACATTGGGTTGCACGAGCAGGCGGACAACATAGAACAGGCCGCGCTGAAGACCATCAGAGATGATAATATACGAACCATGGACTTGGGCGGCAAGGCAAAGTGCTCCGAGTTCACCGATGCTCTAATCAAAAACCTAAAGTAACTTGGGATCAAGTGATTCTATTCGGACAAATCTTAGTTAGCTTTTACTTTGTACAAATAAAATTCAAGTTGTCTATTCAATGATTAATTTAAACATAAATTAATCAATCCATGGCCAGAAATAGTTAGAATAACAATCGAGTTACCCATGCCTTTTACACAATCGACCAACCTTCCTCCCCTTCCTCCATTTAATTTGTGAAAATTCAATAAAAGCAACTCCCTTTCGTGGCGAAATGACTTTGTCAAAGCGTCCCTACCCGGCATGAGTTATCTGATGGCTCCGATCACACTAATTTTGCAACAGGCTGCGGAGTAACCAAACATCACAGGAAACCGCCAGCTCCGTCCGAGAGTCAAAAGCCAGAGCCAGACAGAATCGGCAGAGACCACAATGCCACTCCGATCCCGTGCCGAAAAACCCCCACCATCCCGAAAATTCCCAGCCAGCCAGTCTAACCAGTGCCAAAGTCAAAGTCGGACTGACTGCCAGAGAACCCAGAACCCAGAACCCAGAGTCAGTCAGTCTCTTTGGCCCGCTGCAAGTCATCAACCGCAGCACATGGTGACTCGCAACTGGTAACTGCTGACTGCTAACTGGTAACTGGGAACTCAAAACTGAAAACTGAAAACAGGGAACTGGGAACTGGGAACTCTCGTTCCTGCCCACTCCACTCAACCCAATACCACTCCTCTTTGGCCAAGTTACGTTGCATTTTTACATGCATGTTCTGCTCTGTTCTGTTCTGTTCAGCTCAGTTCAACTCGGGTCCCAGCACAAACTGAAACTCAAACTCCGACTGTGAGTCGACTCCTCGGTGTGCTGCGTTTAAAAGCAAAGAGCCGGCTCCTAAACAAACCGAAACTACTAGCCAACAGCAGCAGCAAAACAAGTAAAAGCAATGTAGTTAATGGGCAAAGACTTGACGATACCCTGTCAAGGATAATTTCGTAATATTTGAAGTCTACTTTAAGGCATTTCTTTGCGGAGCGAAGATCTTTGTTAATCAAATCGGAAGAGAGATATAAACTTTTAGTTTGGAAATTGTTTGTAATATAAGTAGTTGTTTATCAATTTAACTAAATCTTGTAGATTCTAAATGTATTGCATTGATTTTTTGGTAGAAAAAAAAACATTTTCAAAATTGGTTAACTATTCAGTAATCTTTTAAATTCTCTAACCTTTTAGTTCGTGGAAAATCAACTATTACCATTAATTTTTGTTTTCTATAGTAGAACATATATTTTCAATAGCAAACTTAAATTTTTTGTTCAGTAGAAGTTATGTTAAAGTGTTGTTTTTAGATGGACATTTAGAAGCTATATACCTATTCTATAAGTTTAAACACTGGGTACGAAAAGAACAACAAGTAAGGGCACTCCTTGGTTCGAGGTTCAGTGGAGCGTGCAAGAAAAAAGAACAGGAAGAAAATGCCACAGAATCAGCCAAAGAGTCATATAAAAATTAAAAAGAAACCAAAGGAAAAAATTTAATTTTGTGTGCTAGAACGAGACAGACTCTCTTGGTGGTTATCCGTGTGTGTGGTTGTGTGGGGTTGTGTGTGTGTGTGAGTGCATTTCAAAGAATTTTGATAAACAACAAAACCGGCGGAGGAAAAGAGAAAGAGGTTTCGAGGACCCGAGCAAAGCCAAAAGATAAACTCCGTTTTGTGTATGTGAAACAAAAGTCGAGAATTTTTCAACGCACAGTAACCGGTTTTCGGTTTCATTTTCCCCAAAAAAATCTAAAAAAAAGACTGAAAACTTCTGAAGCTGACACCATGAGCGTGGTCAGGAAGCGAAAAAGGGGGTGGACTGGGGAGGGGAGCGGCTGAGAAGAAAGGGGGTCGAGTGCAACTGGAGGCGGCCTAGTTGTCGCTGTCTTCCATTCATAAAACCCTCAACTGCAACTGCAACTACAACTGCAAATGCAGTGGCCGCCCAATTGGAATTGGCCAAAACACGCAAAGGCCAAGTTCTGCTGACTCGAATCGGGTGTTTTCGTTTTTCGTTTACATTTTTCCAGCGAATTCTGGCACAATTGCGAATAGAGGAAAAACTGGGCGCCATAATTGCCATGCACCATGCCACTCCGCTCATTAGAATGCTAATTTGTAAATGCAATCCGTCGGCTGGTCTTTTTTGCCAGAGCTGTGAACATTTGTGCCCTCGTAATTGCCCCCGCGGACTTGATTTCCCGGGAAATGCCGCAATCCGAGTACCACGAATGATGGCTGATGGGTAGCGAATTATATGTGTTTAATGCCAGATCAGACAATGTAAACAGATTTAAATGGAGGCACTGGAAACCGAAATGAGATCACTTCTCCGCGCAAATAGAACGCTAATGATCGAAGGTTGCCAAGCAAGGAATTCGCAGAAACTACTAAAACACAGGCATTTTAATCGCTTACCAGTATTTTATCTATCTTAACGAGTAATTAGCAAGTCACACTGGCTAGATAAGCAAAGTATTTCATATTTATAACACTTGGCGTGCGCATATTGATTGCGAAAGTAATCAGCGAACTTTGGGGCTACTTGACTATTTATAGTTATCTGACCGCTTTTGATTTATTTCTTCAAGGGACTCCGTTTCATTCATTCTTTTCGGCTTACTTTTCCATTAGCCGATAAGTTCACTCATCTGTAACCCCGTTGGCTCCTCGAAAAGGGGTTAGTTTGCGGAGTTAACCCCAACTTGAAAACTGATTTCCCTTGTTCGAACACACACTTAAACGCCCAACCCGTCGACCCACCAGACTCAAACCCACTGACATGGGTTCCCGGCACTTTTACAAAGATTTACGACCGCTGTCAATAGAGCTTTGCATAACACAAACTTCCACTCGGCGGCAGAAACAAAACAGCGGCTGCTGAAAAAGTGTTTTCGAATTTAAATCTATTTGTCACTTGCAAAACTTTTGCTACCTTTTCACTCGTTCAATGGCAATCGCACAAAGGTCCGACCATCGGACGCTGGCCAAACCAAAAAAAAGGTAATGCAAAGTGGCAGTTACAAATTTGCTGAAATCAAATGCGGGATGAACAAAAACAAGAGGTGGAGCAAAAAGGGAGACCGGAAAATATATGGGGCGGAGCAGCAAAATGTTCCATTTAAATGAGTCGGATGGCCTACACTCGGGTGGGTGTCCGTCGAAACTGCTCGATTGGTTTTGCCAAGGCCCAAACCAAACCACCACCCTTGTTACATTTCTCCTAATGCCCTTTTCAATCGTGGTAGCCTCCCCAAATCCCTGAGAGGCTAAACACCCCATTGCACGGACAAGTGGGAGGGGTCATAAAGAGTGTTATGAGTCCAGGAACACCCTATTTTAAACAATTGTATAAGGATCTAAAAAAGATAAGAGTAATTCTTCCTCACTTATATTGAAATGTTATGAAATTACAGTATTAAATAAAATTTAATAGGAATTTATTAATTAATTAGGAGTAGTTTCCTAAATCAAGTTGTTTATAAAAACAGTTATTGAATCGCATGACTTAAGGTTTAAATATTAATAATATTTTTTATAACTGCTTTTATATTGTTCAATTAAATGTATCGTATTTGATATACCCTCCCCTCACAAGTATTACTGGGTATGCAATCCCCCATCTAGATGGAGCAATAAGAAAGCAAGGAGAACAAAAAAAATGATTTGCATTTATTTATCTTGGTAGCTCTTCATCGTTCCCCGCCTGTATTTGAATTTGTTATTATTCTCGCACTCCGGAGAACTCCTTATTGTTTTGCCCCCTCAACGCTTTCCTTCCTCCCCATCAACTCCACTCGGATCCATTCTGCACCCTGCCCCACTAAACATTTCTATGCGGCGATGATAAAAATAATCCCATTTATTGTTTAATGCTTAATAAATAAAGCAATTTTTATTTATTCGCCGGCAGTTTGTTGCTGTTGCTGTTTGTGTTTCTTTTCCCTCGCTTTGCCTTCGTGCAATTGCGTTCCCTGTGTGCTTTATTGATTTTTATGCCTTTGGAGATGTCGATGGGAGCCCTGTTATGTGGTTGTTGCTATCGCCGGCAAAATACCATCAATTGTTTATTGTTTTGATAATGCGTTCGCTTGTACTTTATTGTTTGTGCTTGTGTCGAGGGCTTTGCGTGCAATCGTGGGAGTCACCGATAAGGCCCTCGTGTCCACGTAACAGCCGCCAACAAAGCGATAGTTAATTGGGCTCAAATTGAATGTGGTTTGCACTCTGCGTATATCGAGTGACCAATTAATTGAAATTTTTAGGGAGTAAATGGAGTCCCATTAAGCCCTTTTGTGTCTACACTTTATAGAAATGGTGGTTTCCCTTTGAAAAGATCGCATAACAAAACGAATTCAGTCAAAGCTTTTTTAGTGGTGGCTTTGACTGCTCTTGAATGCGAATTATTGGCCGCATAAATATTAATAAACATATTATTCTTCAAAGCCGAAAACTAGTTTTTCAATTTATTTATAACAAAGATTGATACAAATCTTTGGATGGCGCCTGAGCTTTGTCTTTAATTTATTCGTAGGTAAAAGGCTTTGTCTTTTGATCAACCTTTGAGTTACAAAAACTTTAAGCTATTGAGGTTGAAAGATCGGGTTAAGAAGATATCATTTACTGAAGTGAACTTATTAACACTATTGAATCATAATATTTGTTTAAATCTTTAAAGGCTTTTGCTACCAACACCTAACCTTTGACTTTCTGGGATTGGATTAACCTTAAATTTGCTTTACAAGTTGTTGACCTTCCCCTAATCGTATTTCCTATTTCCCATCTTGACTTAATCATTGATTAATATCAACTTGACTTAACTTTAAATTGCTTTATCCTGGAAGCCAGCTTAAGATGCATCTCTGGCTGCAATTCACATGGCAGGCAATTGGCCCGCTTCAGGATAATGGCGTTCAAAGCCCAATCGGTTTCGCATCCTTTCCTGCTGTTCACGTGTTAAACAGGATATCCGCTCGGGGTCTCCGTCGTTCCGCCAACAATCGCGATTGGTATCTACATATACACATATATAGTATAGTATGGCGATGCCGATGGCTGCCGTGCATCCTGGCTTTTCGCCTGATTTGCCCAA